AATTAGGACAGAGACCATAGTCTCATCAATGCTTTGTAGACAGCTGAGAACACAAAAAGTACTCAACGTAGAGTAAAGAATACTAGCAACAAATAACTAAAAAATTGGATAGGAAGAAAAAGCAAAACCAAAACAAAAAAACCCCAAATGGTATGGTCAAACAACTTGATTTTAATTCTTAAATTGGAACGGTGAGAAAATCATGACGTTAGGCCAAAGTCCATTTCCTAACGCAGATATGCAACTTCTATTTTCTTTAACTGAGGAGAGTTTGGATGCCAATTCTGCATTCTTCTGATGCTGTTGGAAGAAATTATGTCCAAAATATTTTTGGGTACGCACAATTCTTCGGTTATCTATGTCTTTCTGACTGAATTTTTCCATGCTAGGGAACAGGTCTGAAAATTATTGTCTAAAGCGATGTAGCAGTTACAGCCTGAAAAACACCTGAATCTCACTCTGGTATGCAATCACAACTCAGCAAATCTCAGTCCTTGCTCCACAAAACAGCTTCCTTGCTTGGTCACACCTGCTGTCAAAATGGTTCTCATCAAGATTTTATTTTCCTTATATATTTCACTCATTGAAACTCTTAAAGCACATATATTTATGTTTTCAAACTGATCATATTTGCTATGGAAACAATAAGACCTAAGAAGTCAGTTACCTGGCTAAATGCTATTTTCACAAAAGTACTGTTCAGAGTACAGTGAAATGTAAAGTTCAGTGTAAAATGCATATTGCATTGCTCTCAAAACTCACTTTTTTCCCTTTCCCGTGTAAAACTAAAATATTACAGAAACTTATTTTTACAGTTCATGTAAAGCTTAACTATGATTTTATAGAAATGAACGTTGGACAGGCACAAGCAACATTCTAAAACAGCAGATGCCCAAAGGAAATTAGATTTTGTCTTCTGTACAAGCAAAAGCATATTAATATTGATTGTTCTATTATTCCTTAATGATGCTATTGCTATTTTTTCTCTTCAGTAGACGTGATAATAAATGAATGAAAGTACTGACGCTATTTAAAATGTTATCTGAAATACTTAACTGAATCTTAGAATATTTGATTTTACTTAGTGTTACAATGAAAAATGAAGTTAATATGAAATAACTGTAGACTTCAATTAAAATTTGTAAGAGGCAGCGAGTACAGACAGTACAGTAGTATTCATGAGGTGATAAATGTTTTGAGAATTTTCAGTATTTTTATTGAAAAATTCAATAACAATGTCTGAAAAAACAGGCACTGTTTATTATCTGAAGTGTATCAATTTTCAAATCACTTCTTTGGATTAGTTTAACTCTGCATTAAAATAATATATATTTTTTTAAGTTCTCATAAAAACAAACTCATTTTCAGTGTCACATTGTCACTAGGAATTAGTTGTCTTTGGAATGCTAAAAATATAATTAATAGAACTAGGAATGTCTTAATATGCTGATAAACTGCACCCCCAAGTGGATACGTTCCCGAGCTGTAGGACTTTGGTGTGTTTTGTCTGCATACTTTTTTGTCTCAGGAAGACATTAAAATAATGGAAATTTCACAAGAAGGTACTCAAAGGGCTTTGAAATACTTAAGTAAAAGACACTGTAAATGCAAAATAATGGAATTACTAAAGAAAACTACTGGCAGCTAGAACGTGCTGAGTTATTTGTAATGGACAGCTGATTAAGCCTAACATTACTTGCTTTTACATAGTACTTTTAAACACGGGGGTCAATTTACCTTTGCATATTTGTGCACCTGTTCTCTTGAAACGGTATCAAACTTGTGTCATGTAGTACGAAGCTTGGCTCTCCATGCTGCCAACTTGTAACAGCTGCTTCTGACACGCCACACGAATCAAGCCTATCTTTTCCTCCCTCCACTGAACCCC